GCTTTTTCGGCAGGCAAGCGGGGTCACCTACCGCATCCCGGCTCTGCTCTACATCCACCTTCCTGGCCTTCGCCGAGAAGCGCTCCTCGGCCAGGGACAAGGACGCCAAGTACCTGGTGCTGCGGCGGGGCCGCCGGCACGGCTCCTCGATCGAGGTAAAAACCAAGCTGGGCTGTAGGAACAAGCTGCGACCTCCATCCCCGGGAGCAATGCCGGGTGGTTTCGGGGTACAGCGACACCGGTGCATCCCACGGCTGAGCCCCATCTTCCTCCTCGCCGGCAGTGGGGTCCAGTGGAGGAGCTGTCGGCGTTGGCGCTGCCCGGCCGCCGCACCATGAACCCCTGTCCCCTCTACGATGCGACGAGCGGCACCGTCTTCCTCTTCTGCATCTGCGTCGAGCGGGGGAAGACGGAGCGATGCCAAATCTGGAGGGGCTGCAGTGCCGCTCGCCTCTGCTACGCCACCAGCGCCGACGGCGGCCGCAGCTGGACCCCGCTACGGGACGTGACGGACGAAGCCATCGGCACCGACCTGTCCCATTGGGCCACCTTCGCCGTGGGGCCGGGCCACGGGGTACAGTTGGATTCGGGGCGCCTGGTCGTGCCGGCGTACGCCTACTACGTGCACAGGTGCTTGTGCGGGGTTGTGCCGCTGCCTTGCTACACCCGGCAGCACGCCCTCGTCTTCTACAGCGACGACGGTGGGCGCAGCTGGCACAAGGGTGCCCCGGTCAGCGGCGGGCAGACGGGCGAGTGCCAGGTAGCCGAAATCGATGGGGGCGATGCCCGCCAGCCCTTACTCTACTGCAACGCCCGAGCGCTGCAGGGTTGCCGGGCCGTGGCATTCAGCGCCGACCGCGGGCTGCGGTTCGAGCGCTCGGCGCGGTGCAAGGCGCTGGGCGAACCGCCGCGGGGATGCCAGGGTAGCGTGGTGAGCTTCGCCGCGCCGACCAGCACCGGGGATGCACCAACTTGGTTACTCTACTCCCATCCCACCGACCGGCACCGCCGGAGTGATTTGGGCATCTATCTCAACCCCTCGCCGCTGGACGGGGCGGGTTGGCGGCACCCATGGGTGCTGCACCCAGGGCCGGCTGGTTATTCCGACCTGGCTGTCTGCCCCGGTGGTGTTTTCGGCTGCTTGTTCGAGTGCGGCACAACCAGCGCCTGCGAGGAAATCGCCTTCTGCCTCTTCGCCCTGGACACCTCTGACCGCGGCGAACAGAACCTCAAAGCTTTTTAAAATGGACCCATTTTGGGTGGGGGGGGGGTGTCACTCCTGACCAGCGGCAGATGGAGCCGGCAAGCGCGGCAACACCGGGACCTCACCGGGGATGTTTCGGATGCACGGGAGGCTCAGCATCATGTAGCTTTTATTTAATTAACGCTTGGCTTTTTAATCACCCATCAGATAGATGTTGTTGGCGACCTGGGGGAGGGGGTAGAGGATCTCCTGCGGGAAACGCCGCTGCTTCACCAAAAATCAGCATTTTTCACCTGGTAGCAGCAAAAAAGCAGAAGGTGCCACCGAGAGCAGCCGGTCCCCTGGGGAAAAATACCCAAAAGTGGTGGTTTAGTTAAAAATATCAGCGATTTCTGCCTCCCCCCCATGTGGCAGAGAGAGAATTCCCCTTTTTTACCTTTTTTTTAATCCCGTTTTCTGAACTTTCCTGGTTCAGGCTGAGTTTCGCCCCGTGTTCCCATGGGAAAAAAACACTCAAATCTTGGGGGGGGGGGGGGAGGGTGTTA